CTCAATCTATGCCTTATAACTAATTGCACGCATAGGCATGGGTCCCGCTGGACTCCGCTCCCCCGGTTCCCGGGTTCGGGTATTTCACGATTGAGTGGTCTCGCTGACCCTCCGGATCTATTTCGGCGCCTCCTCTAATGACTCTCCGCCCGCCATTTTTCCCCGGGCTACCTCGGTTCCCGATGTCCGGGGGTCATTATTTGCCCCCGCTAAACTCGCATCCGTTATCGATATCGCGTCGCGAGTCATTCGGTTGTTCTTCGGGTCGCCCTTGAGGTGTGTTTGGCGGCTCGGTCGTCCGCTGTGACCTCCGTGCCCTTCGGCGCGGGGGTCATCGTTATGACCCCGCGATCTCCGCGCCCGTCGGTGGTATCGCGTCGCGGCACGGTGGGTCGTTATTCGTGTCACCCCTGAGACGACCTCCGCGTATGAGTCGTCGGCTAGGACCTCCGTGCCCCCCGATGCGGGGGTCATCTTCATGACCCCGCGATCTCCGCGCCCGCTGGTGCTGTCGATTCGCGGTCCGGTGGGTCGTCATCCGGGACACCCCTGAGACGATCTCCGCGGTTCGGTTATCGGCTGCGACCTCCGTGCCCTTCGGCGCGGGGGTCACCCCCGTGACGCCGCGATCTTCGCGCCCGCTGGCGCTATCGCGTCGGAATTCATTTGGTTGACCTTTGGGTCACCCCTTAGACGATTTACGCTGCTCGGCCCCCGGCTGTGACCGCCGTGCCCCTCTGCGCGGGGTTCATTCGCGTGACCCCGCTATTTCCGCGTTGGTTGTTATCGGCGCTTCGCGTATCGGGTGGTTGACCTCCGGGTCACCCCTGAGACGTATTCCGGGGTTCGGCCCCCGGCTATTACCGTTATACTCCCGTTCGCGGAGGTCAATCTCGTGACCCCGCTATCTCACGTGCCTTTTGCGCTATCTTGACCGCGCTTGTCCCGATCTGCTCTGCTTGGCTCTCCTTCCAAGGCCCGCTCGTTGGCTCGCTCGGTCGATCATCTGCTGCTCGCCTGCCAGGGTCAATCGTGCCCCGGTCACCTATATATCGGGTTTTAGGTTAACGCTAACCATATGGGCTTTTCGGACTCGCTTATCCGGTAATTCTATTTGAGAAATGTCGATGTCCGCTGCTCCCCTGGTCGCTGTTGGCCCTCGGGTTTGCTCGGTTGCTCAGCTATGCGAACGGTTGCAAGGTTAGGTTGTAACCGAACGATACGTAATCGGGTTACGGGGTACGCGATTTTGTCCTATAAGTCATCGGTCGCCACTCGGTTTAACCTTGAACTACTGAGAAGGTAGGTATTCGTAATGCAAACGACACTAAAGTTGAACAATTTGTTTAAACAATTTTATTTTTAGATCCCGCCACGGGTGCCTCGTCAGGATACCTGTGCTCAAGATACCGCTAGGTATGGCCTTGGTCGGCCAGCCAGGGACACCGGTTACCGCGACAACCGCTTAATCAGGTATATACACGTTAATATTTCTTTAACCCTTTCTCCTTTTGGATTCCCGCCACGGGTGTCTCCTCTGTGTTGCTCTGCCTCGAGCCTCTGCTATCTATCATCCACCTGCCTCGTGGAACCAAGATGACACGACAACCGCTTGATCGGGTAAGTCCCAGCATTATAAGGTAAGTCAACGTAACTAATTCTCTTTTATTTTCAGGTTTCGTCTACGGGTACTTCATCTTCGTCGCCGATGTCATGGATCAACGCTGCTCACCGCCGCCCAGGATCACCGCGTTCACAAGATGTCGCGACAAAGGTAAGTATGAGAATTGTCGTGATAACTGTAATTAATGCCGTTTCTTTTCAGGTTTCCGCCACGGGTACCTCATCTATGACTTCCTCCGATGCAGAACCGATGATGACCTTCGACCCCAGTCACCGCTAACACACAAGATGGACGACAGCCGCTTGTTCGGGTAAGTTGAGGGTAAGTAAACGTTATCTTCGTATATATTTTCACAAATAATTATTTCATTTATTGTTAACTATCGTTTCACAATGGTGGTGGTTCACAATTACTGATGCCGCGCAAGCTGGCGGTCGCACGTCTCGCAAAGTGCGAATTTCTGTTTTCGGTACGCGGAAAACCGTACGCCTTTCGTATCGGCGTCATGTAACGCTATGTGCGGGCGTTCCCGTTTGTTTCGGACACTGTGGTAGGCTTATAATCGTAATCCGGTACGTATTCGCGATAGTTACTGCGACACGCCGAGATATACGCGCGAGAAGGTTGCTACCTGTACGAGCGCCCACGAAAGACTGCCTCGAGGAATATTCCTCTCTCGGGCTCCCTACCTCCAAAGTTTTACCTCCACCATGGGGTCTCGGCCGCTTTCTCCTCGCGGTAATTTTCCACGCTATAGATACAATAGGTGTTTACGAGTTCTGGCTCGCCAGGTGCGCGCCAGATGTTCCCGATAGAAATTTCCGCTGCCAGTACACTATTTGCGATACGCTTAATCGGCTCCCGGGTAGTGGTTTTTCAGCACCTTGAAATTTTGACTTTTGAGGGCGCCGACCCGTGCGCACGTCCTTTCCCACGTCCCTAATGCCAATTCCGGGTCGACTTCTCGGAGACGACGTCTAGGTCGCTTTTGCCATGTCCGCCGATGGCGGCGACCTTGGTGCTTGTTCCCACGGTCCCTACCGACGATATTCCGGACTTAGTTCTCGTAACCGATGTCTAGGTCTATCGGTTTCCACGACCGTCGTGGTAACCCACTGTCCGGATGATCGGATCTTGACCGCGACTCGTTCCTCGAGTGTACCAGGTATCACTGAGGACGCACCTTCGGCCTTTTCGAGCCGACGTCCGGTTCACGAATTCGCGGATTGTCGTCCGAACTACATGTCCGGGTGCTCGGATTTCGCCCGCGATCGGTTCCCGGGGTCTACCTGGTCTGCCCCAGTACGCACCTTCGGCCTTTTCCCGAGACGACGTCCGGTTCACGACTTCGCGGGTTGTCGTCCGGACTACATGTCCGGGTGCTCGGATTTCGCCCGCGATCGGTTCCCAGGGTCTACCTGGTCTCCCCCAGTACGCACCTTCGGCCTTTTCCAGAGGATGACGTCCGTTCGCGGGTTGTCGCGCGAACTCCATGTCCGGGTGTTCGGATCGCGGCGCTTTCGCGGATGCCCCCTTTTTGGGGACCTCGTGAGTCGGCACAATGATTATTATCCGCGCGGCCCGCGTAGTTCGGGCACTTGGTGTCCGCGTTTTGAAGATTGTGTGTGACTCGACTGTTAAGCTAATGTGTGCGTTACCGCGATCCACGCACATACTCAAAAACAAAATAAAATTCTACTCCCAGTCGGGCCGGGCATCGTCATGCCGAAAAGAAAACCAAATGATGTGGATCGGGAGGAAAGGACTTAACTTCTACGCTGCTCGGCGACCGCTGTCGCATAACTTAATACTACTTGCGCCGGACGGATAAATTTGATCAATGTGACTCTACGGTCAAAGAAACGAGAACAACAAAATACATTTGTAATTGAATGATAAAACAAAAAAAAAAGAAAAGGGGTTTCGGTTCCCTCTGCAACTCCGTCCTCGGAGCGCTCGCGCAACTTAATTTCTAGCGGGGATGTCCCCTCGTCCCCGGAGGTTTCCTCCCCTGAAGATGGGCTCAGGAACTCGCCAGAGGGCTCGTCCTGCTCGTCCCGCGCCGCTGTATGCAGCACGGTCTTACATACAGGTCTGGAAACTTCAGTGGTGGGGGTAGGTCGCTTAATGAAGTTGTTTTTAAGTTCTCTAATAGCCACTAGAGTCGTTGTGATCGATGTTCACGTTGTGGCGAGGGACGCCGGAGGCCGGGAGGGATATCTGTCATATGAAATTTGGCGGAGTGGTTTTGTGTCAACTTCGTAGTCTCGACAATATGGGTTCGAATCTCCGTGCCCTTAAGTTTTTTTTTAATCCTTTCACAAAGCAATGTGATAAATAATAATGCTTTAAATAATTTAAGACTATAAATTAATGAATTATGTAGATATATAAAATAAATACGAGTTTTTATTCTGAAAATTAAGAACAAATAGAAATATCTTTTTATATGTTTATTTTTATCATTTTTCTTTTATTTTTGTGGATTTAGCTAATTATTATCGGCCACTGAGCTTTTTTGAGATATAATTAATTAATAAAGATTAAATATGTCTATATATATTTTTTAACAATATTCAAACTGTTTTTGAAATCGATTTGATATAAAAATATGTTTTAATTGTTATTAATTATTTGATAAATAACTGTAGAATATAGTAAAGAGTGATTTTCTCCAAATTTTTAGGGAATCACGTTCTTGTGACAACAAAACGATTTAGTAAGTATTTGCGACAAGACGCGGTTTCCCTTAATTATTATTAATTTTTTATTAACAATTTATTCTCTAGCGATCGACAGCAAAGAGCGATTCTCTTCAAATTTTTAGGGAATTACGTTCTTGTAATAACAAAATAATTTAGCAAGTATTTGCGACAAGACGCGGTTTCTCTTAATTGTTATTAATTTTTTATTAACAATTTATTCTCCAGCGGTCTTTAACAAAGAGCGATTCTCACCAAATAATTTAAAGACCGCTACAGAATAAATTGTTAATAAAAAATTAATAACAATTAAGGGAAACCGCGTCTTGTCGCAAATGCTTGTTCAATTATTTTGTTATTACAAGAACGTGATTCCCTAAAAATTTGGAGAAAATCGCTTTTTGCTATCGATTGCTGCAGAATAAATTATTAATAAAAAATTAATAATAATTAAAGGAAACCGCGTCTTGTCGCAAATACTTGCTAAAAATTGTTTTGTTATCACAAGAACGTGATCCCCTAAAAATTTGGAGAAAATCGCTCTTTGCTATTCTACAGTTATTTATCGAATAATCAATAACAATTAATTAAAACATTATTATATCAAATTAATGAAAAAATTGTTTGAATATTGTTAAAAAAATATATATAGATATATTTAATCTTTATTAATTAATTATATCTCAAAAAAGCCCAGTGGCCGATAATAATTAGCCTACGATACGTTCGTAGCCGAGGAACCCACATGACATTTCAACGTCTCCTTCCCGCGAGACGTTTCGCTGTTAGCGCCCGCTGCTAGCTTTAGCTATACGAGTTTTCGGGTTACGTTCATCTGCGGACTTCGATGACAGCGACGAGTAGTGGCTATGCTAGAAACTAAATGCATCTTCGATAAGCGACCATGCCCCCACCACTAGAATTAGCGGTAGTCTCCAGACCTGTATGTATGTAAGACCGTGGTATGCAGCACCACCGGCAACGTCTGCGTCGGTTGATCGACACGGCGCGTGCGGTTGCAAGGTTAGATTTGGACGTTGTAGATGTATATGTTCAGGTTGAGAGTTAAATGCAGATTAAATTAGATTTTAAAAACAGTATATTTTAATCTAGCATATGCATACATTATTTTTCAAGAAAATAATATAAAATATAAAATAGATAATATAATATATAAAATAGCATAAGATAAAATAATATAAAAAAATTTGCAGAAAACTATACTTTGGATAATGGAAAATTATATAGATAAGGAGAAAGTAAAAATTTTATTGATGTTGTACCAACAACATCCTTGTTTATATGTCACGAAATCTGTTGAATATCATAATTGTATGAAACGAGATAAAGATTTACAAACAATTTGTAATCAATATCAAGAACTAACAGGACAACCATTAACAACTAAAATTGCAAAAAAAAAATTAATTTAAGATTGCAATATTTTTAGATCAATTAAATAAAATAAAACAGTCCAAGTCAAGTGGCGCATTAGTTGATGATATATATAAACCAACTTGGTGGTTGTTTGAAGACATGAGTTTCCTGAATCCTCACATTGCTCAAAAAAAAAGGAGAATCTTCTATAACAGTGAGTAAATATAATTTAATATAATTTTACAAAAATATACTAAATAGGTATAAAAATTATGACAATTTATAGGTTTTGAACTCTCAGTCAGAATTATTACAATGTAATTTAAATGAGAATGAGACTGAAGATTTACAACTTCTCGATATTCATAATGTTTTAAAAACAACAGATAATAACGCAGGTATTAAAACTAATTTGTATAATTTAATATAATTGTTTATTTAATATATTTAATATGTTACTTATTTTATTTTGCAGAAAACACCTGTCCAAATATTCAATCACAGCCAACAACTAGTAATTCGAGTTCACCAAGCAGTGCTACATGAATATCTAAAAAAAAAAAAGAAAACTTGCAGTTTCAAATGAAATTTGTACAAGTGAAGCAAATAATTTTTGGTCAATAGCTTCCAAATCGATTCAGTCCATATCAGAAAATGAAAGAGCAGAAGATGGTATAAAACACTGGATTTTGTATGTAGAAAGTGAATTGCGTAAAATTTCAGACCCAAAGAAACTGAAACGAATACAGAGAAAAATGATGAACTTAATTGATGATGATTAATATATAGTTTATTAACTTTAGCATAACAGCCAGAAAGTGGCTGATGATGATTAATAGAGAGATAGAATAAACGATTTTGTGCCGGTATGTTTAATATACATTTATGTAGCTCAGATTTTTTATTAGATTGTAGTCGGTAAATTTCGTTCATTAACTTTTAATTACGAATTTTATTTTTGTTCCGGTAAATTTCGTTCATTAACTTTTAATTTAAAATTTTATTTTTGTTCCGGTAAATATATTTCGTTCATTAACTTTTAAAATTTAAAGTTTTATTTTTGTTTCTGCTGATAAAAGAAATTGATTTACTTAATATTGAACTGTGAATTTTTCATTATATATTTTTATAATATTATGCATCATTAGTGCAAAAGTATAATTTTTCATTAAAAGATATTATATTTTTTTTATTTAGTTGATAAACTTTGAGCTTTAATTAAGAATTTTATTTTTAATTTTATTTTTGTTTCTGCTGATAAAAGAAATTGATTTACCTGATATTGAGCTGTGAATTTTTTATTATATATTTTTATAATATTATGCATCATTAGTGCAAAAGTATAATTATTTCATTAAGAGATATTATATGTTCTTTAGTTGATAATTTTTTAGCTTTAATTAAGAATATAATTTTTTTCTCAGTTTTTAAATCTTACCTTTGCGACGGTAATAATATGTTTTTTGTAATCAGATCAACTGAAAAGAATGCGTTGGTAGCTGTGTAAGTAAAGCCCGGTTTTCACACGCAATGATTAGTGGCGCCAACTGACTGGCATTCATTGGCGCCAGAACCGACTAGCAAACTCACAAGTATTTACACAGTAATTGGCGTATAATATGAAAAATATTTAACATTTATTAAACACACAGTAAATGACAGCAAGCATATAACCTCAGAATTTGAGGTTATATGCTTTGGCCAATAGCCGCCAGTAAACGCCACATTACTAGCGCCAGTTTGTATCAAGTGTTTACACTTGCATTTTTACTGGCGTTAGTCGACTGGCGCGGCCTAGCTGGCGCCACCAATCATTGCATGTGAAAACCGGCCTTAATACTTAAAAAAATAATGCCTATATTCAGTCAGTTGTATATACATATTTTATATACCAAAAAAATAAAAGAGTAACATAGATAAATTTGTAGTTTATTTCTAGTTTATAACTATGTATATTTTATAACTGTAATAAATAAATTTTGTTATAAATACATGTTTATTAAAATACATACACTTTCATATTTACAAACTATAGTATACGTAATTGTTATAATCCAATACTTATTTATAATAAAATAACATGAAAGTATAATTATATTTAATTACATAAGATTATATAATTAATAAAAGAACTTAATACATATACATATTTTACATATCAAAAAAAATTTTTTTTTGCAATCCATATCAAGAATTAACAGAACAACCATTCATAATTGAAGTTGTGACAAAAAAATTTAATAAAAGTGTGAAAGTTAAATCATAAATTCTTGCTATTCAACTTTTCCTACGGTATTGAAATATTCTTTAAAAATATCGCGAATATAGATTGCATTTCTATTAGGCATATTGCATTTATTAATTTCTAAATTGCGTAATTGCGCATTATTATTTCTCCACGTAGCATGTATTACAGTTCGATTTTCTAAATTTTCAACATCTACAGCTCCATGTAAATAAGCACCATTTTCTTTACTAAGATAGTTATGTAAAGCACAATATGCAAGGGTAATATTTTGCACAGTTTCAACTGGTAAATATATTTGTGTTAAAAGAACGCGAAATCTATTTGCTAAAATGCCGAAGGCATTTTCAACGATTCTTCTACCTGTACTTAATCTGTAGTTGTATATTCGCTCATCATGAGATAAATTTCGTGTTGTATAAGGTTTTAGTATATGATTTTGCAATGGAAAAGCTGCGTCAGCTAAAATAACATAAGGAATGGGTTCATTCATATCAGGTAATGGTTTATCTCCAGGCACATCAAGTGGATTTCGTGGATCATTTAAAAATTATGCTAAGTCGCTGTCACGAAACACTCCACCATCACTTACCCTACCATTAACACCGACATTGACATATGTGAATTGATAATTGGCATTGACTAATGCTAAAAGAAATAAAGAACGATACTATTTGTACCCTTGTAGTTGTGATACAACGAACCATCTTGAAGTGGTACTTTAAATTCTATGTGACGACCGTCTATAGAACCAATACAGTTTGGAACGTTCCATATTTCAAAATAATTATTTGCAATCTGTTCCCATTCAGCATTTGTAGTTGGTACCTGTAAAAATTATTTAATACATTATTTAATAATCAGCATTTCGAATAATTCATTATGTGTTATAATAATTAATTTTAAATTCTTATTTACCCGCAAGTAATCGTTTCGAAGAACTTTGTATATGACACGACATGTCTCTGGAATTATCCGAGAAATTGAACATGCTGATATCCTTGTCGAGTACTCTAAACTCTTATAATTTTTACCAGTAGCCAAAAACCTCAGAGTTAGTGATAAACGTTCTTTAGGAGATATACATTCTCTCATGTTAGTGTTTTGACGCTGTATATAGGGTGCTACTAGTTCCACAAGTTGATCAAATAAATCGTGTCTCATTCGGAAAAATCTTTGAAAATAATCAGTATCTTCGCTTCTCAATTCTAGATGGGCTAAATTAATTGTGCCTCGTAAATTATGACTTCTTCTGAGTATCCATTTACGTGTCCATATTTTACGATGCTTTCTTCGTTTCTCTTTTATACTATTTTCTTCGATTGTCTTTTTTTTGTATAGTTTCAGCTATTATAGCAATTGTGATTAACTTTTTTAATTTTAAAGATATAGTTAAAAAATTTTTATAAACTTAATAAGTTTTTTTTCTTTATTAGCGTTTATAATCAAGAATCTCTGAAAATTCAAAATATGTAATTATGTATTAAATTATTGCGTTTAAAAATATTCATAATATAAATTAAACAATTTTAATCAAAATAAATTATTGAAAAATATATTTATTTATTTTTTATTTCAATGTAAAACGCTTTTTCATGGTATTTAATAAATTGACAAAGATCATATAATTTCATTGACACATTAACATTTGATCGATGTGATCAAGTTAAACTTGATGGGCGAGATTAAATAAAATCGCGTATAAAATCCAGTTAAATTACTGTCAAGTTAGTCGACACGCCAGGCCGATGCTACACAACGACGAGAAAGAGATATTAGCGTGTGCACGAAGAACTTTCTAGGTACCAAGTAAGAGTGATGCAACCAAGTAACAACGAGTGAAACTACTTTTCCACTATAATACGAGACCGCAAAATAAACATACAAAGGGGAAAATTACTCTTATTATTATAAACGTGATATACTAAATAAATTTTGGTAATTAAAAATTGAAATAAACTGAAAATGATGCATTTCAATATTTTTTATGTAAATTTAACATGATTTCTACGTGATTTGAATATATGTATGTGAGAGCAAGAATTATCATATACTATAAACATCACGTTTAGAAATAAACTGCAAATATATTTTATTATAATAATATATATTATTATTTTAACATTGTATTATTAAAATTGTTGAATTTCTTACCTGGTGTTGGCGAAGGTGGCGTGAGGAATTTGTGCGAGATTATTTCTACTCAAGTCAACTCTTTGCAGTCTCGTATTCTCTTGAAAAATATCAGGTCGCAGAACCTCCACTCGATTGCCCTGAAAATTCACGTCCATCAACGATTTCAGAAGTCGGAAGCTTCGTCCGTGCAACGTGACCAGCCGGTTGCACCTCAAGTCTAGCTGCTCCAAACCCGTGAATTCGTCGAAAACGCCGTCGTCCAGGAGTCTCAAAGCGTTATAGCCTAGATTCAATTTTCTCAAATTCGGCAAGTCAGCCAGGGCGCCAGGCGGAATTCTCTCGATCCCGTTCGAGCTTAAATCCAATGATCGTAGGGCAGGTAGAGCCAGGTAGAGCTAGATCCTGAGAGGATACCGTTGGCAACGCGACAATACGGTTCTTGGGCATGTGAAGATGTTCGATGTCCTTCGGTAGACCAGGGACCACTTCTAGCATACGATTCAAACCGACGTCAAGCTCGTATAAGTTCGTTAGGTGTCGGAACGTTAAGGGATGAAGTACGGACAAGGCGTTCCCGGAGATATTGACGTGCTCCAGCACTGGTATGTCCGGAAGCGCCTATACGCCATAACGTTGGCACCTCGTGTTATAGGAAGTTTTTGTCCTAAGGAACGGCACTGTGTATTCCAGGAGGAACGGAACCCTGGGTGCCGTTCCTTTTCGAGATTAAAGTAAATATTTTTAAATTACATTTTGAGTAGATCTTTACATTTTTTGATGGATAAATTTGTTAATTCAACGAAGATCTTGAAATTTAAAAATTTTAGGGTAATTAATTGAATTAAATACAAAGTTTTTTAAAGTTAAGGTTAACTTTTTAGGTTAAAACGAAATTGTACACAATATATCCCAGGTAGAATAGAAAGTCATAAAATGTCAAAGTGACCTCAAATGATGCCCAAAAAATGATTAAATTATGATAAAAGGTGAATTTTGTAGTCATATTCTCATCACTTTGACGTCACTTTGACATTATCATGACTTTCTGTTTTACTTAGGATAATCCTTTCTTTTTTGTATTTTAATGTATTAGAAATAGTTGTACATATATAAAATTATTCTGACTTATTGCTATTTTAAAATAATGAAATGTATACTGAAAATTACTGTAATTTAAATATCAACTTAATTATAACGTGCTTATTATTATTTCTATAGATGGATTCTGTACAATCAAGGAAAATTAAAATTAGATACGGTGAGAAATGTATGAATATATATGTGACAAATAATACTTTGAAGAAAAGTGTCTTAAAAGATTATTTTCCTGACGGTGGGACTTTGACATATCAAATTGATGGGGAGACATATCTATTAGACACGGATGCTCCATCTACATAAATGCAAATGTGGACAGTTGAATTCGAAATTAATAAATTATTGAAGAGTAATAAATGATTGCATGAAATTCGTGTAATATTAATATTTAATTAAAATAAAAAATAAAATTTAATTAAAACTAATATTTAAGGAATTTTACCTTTAACGCTGGCAAATTCCAAAAGGGATTCGAGCCTCCAGCGTAGTAGTTCAACGTACAGTTAACTTGTCGGAATTTACAATTATCGCAATATCATTGAATCTTCTTCTTTTTTTTTAATTTCTTAGCATTGAGTTCGATTCATCACTGAATATGTCATTCCACAATAGAGCCATATAGGTTAGAATACATGAAGGTCTTCTTTCTAAGGTTACTTGCATTTACAACACCATCTATATGTATCATAGTGTAAATATTTCTGTCCGAGATCTCGGACGGAGAAATCGGATCGATTTCTAGTACCGTGGACACAAGGCTAAAAGACGAGAGAAAGATATAGAGATAGAAACGAAGAAAGAAGGAGAAGAGAAGGAACAATATAGAGAAAGGTATTATATATTATAAAAATATTTATTATATTGCAAATATATTTAAATTTATATATTAGTTAACTTCTTTATATACACTACCGCTCAATAATTTCAATATGCAACAGATTTGTTGATTTCTCTGTAAAGGATGAACATCATGATACGTGTTTTGCACAGAAATGAATGCACTTGCTGTTATAAACATTTCACTTGCATGCATCGCATTTTTATATAAATAATATATAAAAATACAATGCATGCAAGTGTTTATAACAGCAAATCTATTCATTTCTGTACAAAACATATGTTCATCCTTTACAGAGAAATTAACAAATATAGGGGTATATTGAAATTAATGAGCGATAGTGTATATAAAGAAGTTAACTAATATATAAATTTAAATATATTAATTAAGAGATGGAGAGATGGGAGGAAGGAAGGGCAGGGAAAAGTGAAAGAGGAAGGAAAGTGGGAGATAGGAAAAAGAGATAAAGCAATGGAAGCGAAGGTAAGAGAGCTAGAAAGGTGAAGAGAGTTAGAAGAGAGAGACAGAAGGAGAAACAATGTAGTAGTGAAAAGGGTGGAGGTGGTGGAAGGAAGGCTAAAGGAAGCGGTAGAGAAGCTATGGCTAGAGATGGGGCTAGAAAGAGGAATAGAGGAGGTAAAAGAGGTAGGAAGAAAAACGGGGAAAGAAAAGAAGATGGTTTTAGTTAGGTTAAAAGATAGAGTAAGAAAAAAAGAGATAATGCAGAGAAAGAATGTGTGGAAAGGGAGGATGGAAAGAATAGAGGATGACATGACCTTGAAAGAAAGAAAAATGTAATGGAGCCTAGCTGAAGGAGAGGATAGCTGAAAAGGAGAGAAAGAATAGGAGGAGAGCTTGGGTAAAGTACGGAAAGATTTGGATAGAGGGGAAGTGGTGGAGTTGGGATGAGGAAAAAGAAGTCCTGACAGATGGAGGGGAAATGAGAAAGAGGAACAAAAAGAAGGATGGGGGGGAGAAAAAGGAACAGAAGAAGAGGAAAAGAGTAGAAAAAAAGGAGACGGAAAAATGAAAAGAAAGAATAGTGAGAAGGGAGGAAAAACGATGGGAAGGTAGGGCGGAGAGAAGAGAGAGGAGAGGGAGAGTAGGAAAAAAGGGAGTGTGATAAGGCTGAGGGGTAGGGGGGAAAGGAGTCAGAGAGAGTAAAGTGGGGAAAGTAAAAAGGAGTGAAAGAGAGGAAAAAAAGGGGGAGGGGAAAGAAAGAAATGTAGGAGGGACGAGGAGGGGAAGGAACAGAACAGAAGCCTAAAGATAGGCTTTTGGGATGTAGCAGGAGTGAAGGAAAAACAGGAAGAGTTTTAGGAAAGGATAAAAAAGTGGGATGTCGTGGGGTTGGTGGAAACATGGCTGAAATAGGAGGAACGGGAGAAGATGAAGAATAACGTGCCAAAGGAGTTCAACTGGAAGATACAAGGTGTAAAGAAAGAAAGAGTTGGAAGAAGAGGAAGAGCAATAGGTGGGATAATGGGAGTCAGAAAGGGGTTAGAAGGGGAAAAAGAATGGATAAAGGAGGAGGGTTTAATGATTAGAGAAGTAAGATGGAAGAAGGAGAAATGGAGATGGCAATAGTTTACGTAAGCGGCAACTTATGATAATGTGTAAGATAAAATCTGTGAAGGAGGAGAAAAAAGAGATGGATAGTGGGGGGCGATTTCAATGCGAGAACAGGGGAGAAAAAAGCGCTGGAGGATGGAGAAGAGGGAGTTGAAAGAAAATCGAAAGATAAAATGATAAATAGGCAGGGGGAAGGGCTAATTAGATGGGTTGAAGAGGAAGGGTGGGGAATTATGAATGGAACAAAGGAGGGAGATGAGAAGGAAGGGGGTGAATTTACAGGAGAAAGAGGGGAAACAGTGATCAATTACGCGAAAGGAGATAGGAAGGTTTGGGAAACAGTGACAAGATTGGAGGTGGGGTGTGAGGTAGATTCGGATCACCAATCAGTAGCAGTACGGGTGGACAAAGGGGGTGATGGTGAGAGGAGAGGAACAATAGCGGAGGAAGAGAGGTGGGTGGAAAAGACGGACTGGTCGGAAGAGGCAAGAGAGGAGTTTAGAAGAAGAACGGAGGAGGTAGAAATAGGTAGGGGAGGGGACAATAGATAAAGAGATCAAAAAGTTGACAAAAAGAATTAAGATGAAAGAAAGGATGAGAAGAGTAAAAAAAGGGGCAGAAGGAAAGGGAGGATGGTGGGATGGGGACTGTAGGAAAAAGAGGAAGAAGGTAGAAAAGTTATTGAGAGACTGGAAAAAAGGAAGAAAATATAAAGAAGATTATAAGAGAAGAAAGAAGGAGTATAAAGAAATGTGTGAGAGGAAAAAGGAAAAAAAGAGAAATCTGCTGGAAGGGGTAAGAGAGGCGAGAACAGAGAAGCAGGTGTGGGAAGTAATAAAGAAGGAAAGGAGAAGAAGAGTAGAAATTAATAAGGAGATAACAATAGAGGAGTGGGATGAATACTTAAGAGAAATATTAGAAGGAACTGAATACAAGCGATGGTTAGGAGAAGGAGAGGAGGAAGAGCAGGGTTCGGTGGGGGAAGTAGAGAAAGGAGATGGGATAAGATGGGAAAAGGTAGAGAGAGTGCTGATAGGGCTGAAAAAAAGTAAAGCGGCGAGAGAGGACGAGATAGGAAATAAATGTATATCCATAAATGTATATCCATAAACTACTATTATTTCAATTATTATCATTTCCTTACTTGACGACATAATGATATTTTAAGTGTATTAATTATAATTACATAATAAGCGACAAATTTATTTAAAATTTGAAAATTTCGAAGGAATTGGAGAGAGTGCTGTCATACTACATATATATAACGTTTAAAATACTCTGTATTAATGATTTCTATTACTATTAATTAATATTATTGTTAGAATTAAAAAGATCAATACTTTTATTATTAGTTGTTCCTATAATACACATAGTACATACATTATGTAAGAGAAAGGGGGAAAAAGTGACGAATTGTTAATTTCTCTAAACTAATAACAGATAACGAGTCGATGCTGAACGTTAAAGGCGTTAGATAATAATGAATAATTTACTTGCAGTTTGATTTCAATCTGTTTACAAAAACATATAATAGTGTAACTCCGGTATATACGCCACAGCTAAGGGAAACTTAATTTATCGAGTACTATTTACTATGCTTAAGGCAAATGAATTATACTAATAAAAACTTTATACTGTCTACTACTAGAAACATAAAATATTAATGTTTTGTATTTAATAAAAAAAACTTAGAAACACTTGCATTTTTGCCATATATCCTAGAAGGGTGGATTATATGACATTCATGGGTAAAATGTAAGCCTTATAAAAAGTTACAAATAATGTTTATAAATAAGGCAATAAAATGTCATAATAAGTTATAAAATGTGTGTAAGAAGTTTATTAAAATGTAAGAATGATAAACAAATTATAAAACTAAAAAAATTTTTAAAAAAAATTAAAAGAACGATAGGTGCATTAAAGATTGTATCCATACAAAGTATCCGTACTATGGCTTAAATCCCGCATGCTAACTTGCCGTATATCCTAAACACAGGAGGGATATACAAGATATTAAGATATTAAACAAAAAATATAAGAGCTGTGCACTTGTATTTTGCTGTATTCCATAATCATTTGGAGGAGAGAAGGCGAAAGAAAGCAGTAGAGAAGCTATGGCTAGAGATGGGGGAGGAGGGAGGAATAAAGGAGGTAAAAGAGATAGGAAGAAAGACGGGGAAAGAGAAGATGGTTTTAGTTAGGTTAGAAGATAGAGTAAGAAAAAGAGAGGTAAT